GGCTTATCATGCAAGCTATTAAACCACCACTTCCTCCTCTGTGCTAGCAATGCAGATATAAAACAAAAGCAGAAGGTAGGGGCATGGTGGCACATTCCTTTAGTCTTTGCACTCAGGAGGCAAAGGCAGGCACAGCTACATAGTAACTGCACAAAGAAACAACAACAACAACAACAAAAAACAAGCAAGCTACCAAAATTAGTCTTTCATATAAAGAAGTTTATAGTTCTGGGAATTTGAAAAATTAAACACTATGACCTTAGTTTAGTGTCTGTTTGTTGTATTTTTAAGACACAGACTCATGTAGCCCAGGATGGCCTTGAACTTGATATGTATTGAAGGATAATATCGAACTTCTGATTCTCCTGCCTTCAGCTCTTAAATGCCAGGATTACAAACACACCCCACCACACCTGGTTTCCTACAGAGGTGGGTAATGAATAGAGTTTCGTGCACTCCAAGCAAGCACTCTACCAACTGAGTGATAACCCCAGCCCCACAACCTTGTTTTCAAAAGCAAAAGATTAGTAACGACCTCAATGTCTCCACTAGGAACTAGTTAAATAAACAAGGCACAGAAAATCATTCAAAGGAATATTGAATGAGTCCTTCAACAGAGTGAAATGTTCTTTATGGGAAGGGAGTAGGCCAAAGCCCCTTAGCCTGAGGACTGCCATTTTTACTTCAACCTCCCTTTTACCTGCAGGATGAAATAAATTCAGGCTCCCAAGCTCTAGAGAAGCTGAGAACTTTCCAATGGCTGACCAACCTCCTCCCTAAAACGTAGAAATAGTTGTCATACATTATTAGTTCTCTGGAAACATTATGACTGTTCCCAAGAACAGAAGGAACAGATGAAGTTGATTGGTTGGATTGAGAGGCTTGCATTGTGTATCGGTTGACAATGATGGAGCCTTCAAGGAAGCCCCTAATCTCTCAATCCTGACTGGTGAAAAATTGTAACTGTAGCTTGGCGATAAATGTTAGGCTTAAAAACCCCACTTCTGCCCCTGCTCAGGGCTATCAGAAGAAACGAGGCTGCCAAGTCCTTACTTGTACTGCAGCCCTGATCGATCAGTGACCCGCTTATGTGGTGATTTAATAAATCTCTGGAACCCATAAGTGTTGTCTCTCTCCTTCCCCATAACACATAACGGGTTGGGTGTAACATTATGTTCTGATCTGAAGCAACATCCAAAGCTGAGGGCTAGCACACGATAATGCTACTATGTGAGAAAGGGTGTGCATAAACACATATGTGTACTCATTTACACGTACATGCACACATATACATTTACACACACACAAATATTCTAAAACATATAAGTAAAACATACTGTCCTGTAAGTTCCCAGGGAAGGAGGCCGGGGCTGCAGGGCTGAGGGACTGGAACAACTCCTACATTTCCACATGCTATACCCTTACATTTTTATTTTGCATATATGCACTATTTAAATCTTTATTCTGCGTACATGCATTATTAAACGATGAAGGCCAGGATTATAGGTAGCTCCTATAATCCAAGCACTTGGAAGGTGAGGGCAGAAGGAAGGATCAGGAGTTCAAGTTCTTCTGCTGCTCCATAGCAAACTTGTGCAAACAAAAACAAAAAACAATGCAAGTTTTTAGTAAAACAAAAATAAATCATTCAAAAACACAAATCATATGCCAAGTTGTACACGCTCACAATCTCAATACCTGGGGGGCTTAGGCAGGAGAACTGCACTGAGTTTAAGACCAGCCTGGGCTGCATATTGAGATCTGAAAAAAAAGGACAAAACAGACAAACAAAAATATGTGCAATTATAAAGACCATATAACAACATAGAAAACTGATGCTAAACTTTAAGAGAGGCTTTTTGTATGCAGCAAGATACACCTGGCCATGCTCCCAAAGCTGGTTCTGTCTGGTTTCCTGGCTATCCTCACTGAGGGAACAAGATCCTAGACCATTAACTGCAGACAGTCACGTCCGTACCCTCAGTGCTGGCCCACCAGACCCTGGACAATCTGTTTACGCATGAGGAAAAGCTTCTGAACAAACAAGAGGGGGCTTTCTCCAAGGGGAGGCCAGGGAGCTACATATCTTCCTCTTGCTCAGCTTCCTTCCTGAAGGAAGGTCCCCAGTGGGAAACCGGAGGTGAGATCTGTCCTGTCAGGAAGGAGAGCCAGGAATCTGCACCAGCAGCCTAACATGATGCCACCGGTCCAACCTCCGCTTAACTCTGGTGTTCTGCCCCCTATCGTCCCTGGCTCTGCCCACCTGCTGTTGGAGGCTACTTTGCTTCAGGACAGAAGCCCCATTCCCCATTAGAGACCAGCCTTCTACCCTGACCATGTATATGATCTCATTCAAAACACTTAGCTTCTCAGTGGCATGTTTTAGAAACCTATTTGTTTTGTTTCATGTGTATAAGTAATTTGCCTCGTGTATGTGTGTGTGTGTGTACATTTGTCCAGTGCCCAAGGAGCTCAGAAGAGGGTGTTGGATCCCCTGAACTGGAGTTACAGATGGTTGTGAACCACCATGTGGATGCTGGGAACTGAACCTTGGTTCTCTACAAGAGCAACACCTGCTCTTAGCTGCTGAGCCATCTCTCCAGCCCCATCCTACCTGTTCCCACCCATAAAATCGTCCTATATTGGCAAGCTGCTGGGAAAACAAAAGAAGCGTTATTTCTTTCTATAGCCTGTACCATTTCCGGGGTACCTTCTTGTCAGTCTCTTCCACCTGCTCCTCTTCAGCCCGCGCCTCATCTATCACAGCCTTCCTCTCTCTCCTAGGGCTCACCACACCCATGCACCAGATCCATATAGCCAGGTGTTTCTGAGCTGTCTCCATGTTAATCTCCCGTGACTGTCTCAAACTGGATCCATCAACAACTTAACTTGGTTACAGAGAGTCCCAGGCAGTGAAGGACAGATATTCCCACTTCGGTTCAGTACGTCCTCCCAAGTTATTCTAGATCCTGTCTAGTTGACGGTTTACACTGGCCATCATAGGTCTTCACAAGTGTGAGCTAGTGGGTGAATAGTCCAATTAACTCATGGTTTTTCTACCAAAATATGCCTGCCTCTGCTTCCCAAGTGCTGGGATTAAAGGCATGTGCCACCACTGCCCGACCTATTTTTTTTAATTTATTTATTTTATGTGCACTTTATTTGGTGTGAAGATGTCAGATTCCCTGGAACTAGAGTTACAGACAGTTGTGAGCTGCTATGTGGGTGCTGGGAATCGAAGCTGAGTCCTCTGGAAGAGCAGCCAGTGCTCTTCTTAACCACTGAGCCATCTCTCCAGCCCCCACAGTTCTGTTCTTAAAGACCCTGCTGCCATGAGGGGAAGTTATGGGACCTGGGGATAGTTTCCTTAAGAAAACCAGCGGAGAGCAGAAGGTAACAATCATGAGACTAGTTACTAAGAACTGGGTCTGTGTCAATACTGCTCTCAGCTACTTTACCTGGCATTAAGCCATGCAACTCCTCTCATGTCTAGGCAGACGACAGTGTTTCAGATTGTGAAAGTGTGGTTCAGGAAGGCAAACTCAGTCAGCTACCATGCAGCTACTCTCTATGACCCAGAAGAACAGTACTAGCTCTCAGAGAGGATCTGGAGTTTGAGGTCATCCTTGACCACCCAGCAAGTTCTAGGTCAGCCTGGGCTATGAGGCCATTGTGAAAAACCAAGCAATCAGAGGCAGGGGTTTCCGGCACGTTCTTATAATCTCCATATTCAGGAGGTAGAAACAGGTGAATCAGTAGTTCAACACCAGCTGAGCTCATAAGTGTATCAATTTTTTTTTAAAATCAGTTTTAAGGCTACCCCCATGTGAGCAATGAGCACCTGCAAAATGAGGTTAGTCAAATGAGGTGCCTAAAAAGTACAAAGCACGCACCCAACTTTGGATGACTTAGTATGATAACTATAAAATAGTAATGTTGTGTGCTTCATAGATTTCTTTAATGAATTGAGGCAAATGTATTAAAACTAACCACCTTCTAAAAAAGCCCTTTTAACCCAGGATGTAATGTCACACACCTTTAATCCCAGCACTCAGAAGGCAGAGATAAGTGGATCTCTGTGAGTTCAAAGCCAGCCTGGTCTACAGAGCAAGTTCCAGGAGAGCCAGAGCTGCACAGAGAAACCACTTTGAAAAAACAAACAAACAAAAGCCTTTTTAACGAGGCTCCTAGAGAATGTCAAACTACAAACAGCTCTCACTGCATTTCCAGTGAACAGCACTGAAGCCTGGAGAGAGGATGCAGAAGAAATGACTTTCACAGCGCCAAGTGTGGAACCCAAGTTATGAGGACCCGTCTCGAAGATGGCCCCTGAAAAGCTCCATCTTTTTCTGCTGAGATGTCCCTTCCACTCTATATAAGGCTCTTGGGAGAGTACAAAAAGGACTATGTGGCTCCCACAGCTAGGTCACAAACAACGTGAGAGTTCCTAACTTGGCTCCATCCACTGCCCCGCAGTGGCGTTCGCAAGAAACCGAGGCCTCTGGTCAACAGCAAGAAACAGCCAAGCAAGCAGAATGGGGTGACCATGCAAAGGGACCTCCAGCATCAACTAAGCATCCAAGTGACAACTGTCACCTTTTAATGCAAGCTTTAGTAAGACTCCAAACAACCTAGGTATGTTTCTTCCAAATTCCCAACCCACAAAAGAACGAGGTAATGTGTTCCTGGTTGTCTTGAATCACAAAGTTTCTGTTCTGTTACTGAGCAAGAGCTGACATTCTTGTTTTGTTTTGGTTTTGGTTTTTCTGTTTTTTTGGTTTTCCGAGACAGGGTTTCTCTGTAGCTTTGGAGCCTGTCCTGGAACTAGCTCTTGTAGACCAGGTTGGTCTCGAACAAGAGCTGACATTCTTACAGACCCAGGGATCCCATGTAGGAAAATCTTCTCTATACAGTATTTGTGTGCAAGGAGGAAGTACCCTTGTCTTTTCCATGGCCTCTTAACCCATCTCTGTTGACCCCAAACACAAACAGGCAAAATATCAAACCTGAGGGATTCAACCCCCAAAGGCAAAAATCTCATTTTATTTTTTGAAGAGGTTGTCCTCTTTATTGAAGACAGACCCAGGTCTTTTGAGAATGAAATCACTTTATCCCATCACTGCACCTGGGCCACAGAGATTTGATTCCCACAGAACTCAAAAGACCTATGGACCAAAATCGATGTTAGACACAGCACTGAGAAAGTAATGAAGAAACGACAGTTTATAACACTGGAGTGTCGCCAAGCCGAGAAACATGGAAGCATAGTGTTTTCATCTCGATCCATGAGGTAGGTGGGGAGACCCAGGAAGCAACAGCTCAGAGCTCAGGATCTGTCCTCGGTCATGGTCAGTAAATCACAGAGCAGTTCTAGAATGGGGTTCTGGGGACTCAAGTCAGACTAGGGGCGTTCTATCGCAGGACCACCATGCCCGTCAGCTGGGGCTATCCTCAGAGATTAACGTGCACTTGAAAGTCTCCTGGAAGGCCACAAGGAAAGATGGCATTACTTCATCCACAGTGATGAGTCTCTGGAGCGCCTCACTCAGGGAAGTGACTCCTGTCCCAACTAGTCCACAGGGCACAATGTGCTCAAACCAAGTGAGGTCTGTAGAACAGTTCAGAGCCAGGCCGTGGGATGTAATGTGTCTTCCACAGCGGACTCCTGCAAAGTAAGCCAAAATGTCTTAGAATAGCTCTACTTCCCTTCCTTGGAGCCTCGGGATACCACTAGTGCATAAAGATAAGTGGGCTTGGAGCCTGGACAGAGCACAGACTGGGTAGGGGACTAATTCTATGAGGTGTGGGGGCGGGGGCTGTGGTTACACATCAGCCTTTCTTATTTTCGAGATTCCTTAATACAGGGACTACGTTGCTTTGGAAGTTTGACATTTGGCATTCTGTCCTCCCGTTGTGAGACACAGGAAGTAACTTGGCAATTCATGCCTGGTGTTTCTCCATCCATGAGTGCTTAACTAGAGGACTCTTCTGTCTTGGAAAATTAAATATCCTTGAGGCAGGCAGGTCAGGGGTATTAGGAACCCAGAGTTGCTCGGGGTTGGCCCTGTTCCCCGCTCCGCCCCAGCTCCGCCCCGGCGTGCTCACCGATAGCGCAGATCTTGCGCTCGCCCAGCCAGACACCGGTGTAGGGTGGCGGCCGCGCTCGGGCTCCCCGCAGTCCCCGGAGCTCGCACAGGCGCACGGCGCACGCCTCCAGCGCCGCCACGTGAGTGCGCAGGCGCAGGCCTAGGAGCCGCAGGTCCAGCACAGGGTGGCACAACAGCTGCCCCGGGCCGTGGAAAGTAGCCAGGCCGCCGCGGCCGGTGGCGCGCACCTCGGCTCCCAAGGCCCTCAGCCGTGTAATCTCTTCGGGGGTCAGGCCTCCGCGTAGCCCGCCGGTGTACACGGGCCCAGCCGGATCGCAGACCAAGAGCGCGCCCGCCTCGGTCCCCGACGGGGCCCCCGGGCGAGGCTCAGCCTGCAGCCGCCGCAGCCACTGCTCCTGCAGCGCCAGCAGTTCGGAGTAGTGAGCCCGCCCGAGCCACACCAGCCGGACCACGGGCAGCTGCATTGCCAGGGCTGCAGCGTGCCGGAGCCCCGCCTTCTGTCGGGCTCGGGGCGGGGACTCAGGGCCACGCCCTTGAGCTGCGGTTCCGGTGTGGGTTCCCGTTCCCGCCTACTGACCGGCCTGACCCTCCCATTCATTCCTATGGTCAGTACGTGCTGCGATCTGCAGGAAGTAGACCCAAAAGCGTGACCATGCAGTGTGCAGTGTGTGAGGAACGAAGATCCAGCTCTGGGAGCTGAGGTGTTCGCAACTGACAAGCTAGTATTAAAGTTGTATACTGTTGGAAGAAAAAGCAAGCAACAATAACATAAAAAACAACCAGAACTCAATAATATGCTGTGTTCCTCAAAAACTGAAAGGGAGATTAGTGTGCAAGGAGGCTTATTGTGGTTTGGCGTGGGACATAGGAGTTGCTTTAAGGTCTGTAAAACAAGCTGAGGGGTGGTGGTGCACACTTCAGCCGATCTCTGAGTTCAAGGGTTCGAAGCCAGTCTGATCTACAGAGTGAGCTCCAAGACAGCCAGAACTTAAAAAAAAAAAATCCGTAAAGACGTAATGGAAATAGGCAGAGGCTCTAGATGACTCTGGCCGACTCATTAGAATTATTCCAGATGAAAGCAAACGGGCAGAAATGCGCGTCCTGCATTGATGAATCGCAGAAACAGGCTACTCCTGGGAAGGTATTGTTGCCTTTGTAGAGGTTCCGTCCATTATGGAGGGCTGATCTCTGAGGGGAACTCGGGTGAGTCACCAGCAACCTGTTCCCCAAAGTTGAGAGAAGGACAGGGGCTGGAGGCTAGAACATCAAGATTAATTTGTAAAAGACGCCAGTTGACCCAGAAACCCTTCCCCACCTGAGCTTCATACAACACCGCATGTGCCAGAAAAGCCCCCAGAACTACCATTTGGAGAGGCAGGTGTCATGCAAAAGTCCTATAAAGGATCCCGAGCCTCATTCCGCGAGACTTTTACTTAGCTCACTCGCGCACTCCCATTCTTCGGGAGTGTTTTTCTTTCCTTAAAAAGCAGTCTCTAGTTCTAACCTCGTCATGTGTCTGTGGTGCAAGCCTCTGACCTGGGACACAAGACTTCTGTTCTGCTCTGGCCGCTAAGCATATCTCCCCCCGCCCCCCCCCCCCTTTATTTCCGTTTCAGATATTGGCCCAAAACCTAAGCCTGCTTTTCTGGCACTCTGTATCATCTCAGAAGTCTCCCGTCTGTGCTGTGAAAGCGTCCACCTCCACCTCAAAAGGCGTGGCTTTCTCCCCTTTCTCCCCGCCCCCTTGGCAACCAATGACATTTTTCAGCCTGTTTGTCTGATTGTTTTTCTCCCAAGTTCTAATACAATTCCACTCAATTTGTTTAAAATTATCTTACTAAGAGACTAGGAATCCAAAAGAGGGAACCCAGATTCCTCTGATGACACCGGGGAAGGGTGAGGGGCTGTTGTTGACAGGTGTTTCCGGGCTCTTGAAAAGCTTGCTATCTCCAGATGCTGGGCCTGATGGCTACAAGAGGTGTGTGTGTGTGTGTGGTGTGTGTGTGTGTGTGTGTGTGTGTGTGTGTGTGTGTGTGTGTGTGAGAGAGAGAGAGAGAGAGAGAGAGAGAGAGAGAGAGAGATCTGTCTGACTGCCTTTCTTGATAACAAAACAACCCGCTACACGATGAGGTATGTGTGGGGCTAAGGGTGGAGTCTCTCAAACATAAATATGAATCTTCATATAACTGGTGTAACTACCTGGCAGGAATGAAAATATACTAAAGAGACCCTTGTAACTTCCCTTCAGCTATTAGACTACTGAAGGAGTGGACCTCTAGAAATAGGATTTCTCAAGGAGTATTGTGCTGGGTAAAGGAAAAGGCTGATGGGGGGAGTTTGTCTCCCTGTGAAAGATTTCACACAGTCTGACTTTCTCCTGCACAATCTTGCAGGAGAGATTAGAGTCCAAGTAATGATGGGTCCCTGCCCAGGACTGCCTTCTGTTCAAACCAAAACCTCAAATCAGGACCTGAGAGATGGACTTGGGGATGTGGAGGCAGAGGGAGGTCATTGGGTTTTGCTGTTCTTACTCACGTGACAGCGTTAAATCTCTTCTCTGCTCTTCCCTACTACACTGTCTGCGTGGCTGGCCTAGAGGACAGATGGCCAAGCCCTGATAATTAGAACTGTCGGGTCCCAGGCCTTGACTCTTGTTTGCTGTTCGTGGAGGTTTTGAGGGTTTTTGATTTGTTTTGTTTTTTTTGAGGCAGGGTCTTGCTGTTTGCTCTGGCTGTCCTAGAACTCACTATGTAGATCAGGCTAGCCTCGAACTCACAGAGCTCTGCCTGTCTCTGACTCCCAAGTGCTGAGATAGACTTTGACTCTTAATATCTCCAGTAACACGGGGTGTGGGTGAGGCAGAAAGTGAAAGGAGGAAGAATAGAATAAGAATACCAGCCAGAACAAGGCTCAACGCCAAGAATTAACGAGGTGGACAGACAGGCATGGGCAAACATATATAATAGGAGGTTTCAGAGCAGATGACAAAAGTTATTGTGAGTCATCAACGGTGGGGATGTGGTTTAGAAAATAAACATGACATTTAGATAGCCCCAGGGTCTGGGAGAAAAAGAGAAATTGGGAAATGGGATTGCATAAGGCCCTGTTCCGGAGTACCTAAATAGTTACGTTTAGGGTGGGGAAAGCAACGGCAGTGATTTGGTTCCTGTAGAAGAGAAACCCGGAGGTTCTACCTACGACGTGTCCTGGTGTGAAACAGTATAAGCAGGAAAGCCAGGATCTGGGCTCAGATGATCTTTTTGTATGCTGTAGGGTATCTCTGCCTAGGCTGCCTTCTGATTGGTTTAATAAAGACCTGAATGGCCAAGAGCTAGGCAGGAGAGAACAGGCTGGACTTCCAGGGAGAGAAAGGAACTGGAGATTAATCCCAGTGCATGAGAGACGCCAGTGAGACACGGAATGAGTCCGACATACACAATGGGGGGCGAGGTAAAAGCCACAGGACAGAAGTAGATGAAAACAGTTAATCTGAGTTATAAAAGCTAGTTGGGAACAAGCCTAAGCTAAAGTCCAAACTTTCATAATTAATAATAAAAGTCTCTGTGTCATTATTTGGTGGCTGGCGACCCCCAAGTGAACGTCAACTTCATCTGTCACTGTGTTTGTGCTCCTTTGGGAAGTACATTTGGGCTGCCAGGAGCAGATGTGGCTCACTGTCATGCAAACTCTTAGGCTATTAAAACATTTTAAATGCCATATTCTGTAGATTTTGAAGTGTTTGAAGACCACCTATCTAAAATATATCTCTGTTTAATCTTGAAAACTTACCTGACTATAAGTTTGATTGTTAGAGATGACTATTAACCTGCATTTCTTTTTTATAAGATTTATTTTTTTTCCATATACAGCATTCTTATCTGCATGCATGCCTGAACACCAGAAGAGGGCATCAGATCACATTATAGATGGTTGTGAGCCACCATATGGTTGCTGGGAATTGAATTCAGGACCTCTGGGAGAACAGTCAGTGTTCTTAACCTCTGAGCCCTCTCTCCAGCCCTAACCTGTATTTATTTATTATCCTAAATAGATTTCAAGGATTAAAACTTTACAATATGTTTTAAATGAACTGCATAGGTACAATATCTTAAACAAGGATAGAAACATATATACAGTATAACAAAAATAACCTTAAATCTGTATCAGTATATTGAATTATCTTGGGTTGAGAAATACCAGGCTAGTTACAAGGTAGACCAAGTATACTTTTCTTTATTATAAGAGGCAAACTCACGAAACAGGAATGAGAAGTTCAAGCTTAGCTGTGTAGCGCTGGAAGCACAGAGATAAAGAACCCTGGGCACCCAAAAGGTCACGTCCCAACTTGGTCCCACCTCTTCAAGTTCATTGGCTGACAGAGATTCCTCATCAAATATACAAAAATCTATACCAGTGTAAAATATTTGAGACTAGTAGTCGTCCAAAAGTAGACTCCACAATCCACCCTTTTATCCCATCATGTCTATACTATATTCTCCCTTTTTCTCTTCAGAAAGAAATTCCTGAATCGAATCTCCTTTTTCTCATTTTTGTTTCTGACCATGACCAATAACACTTTGTAACCAACTCCCCTAAATGATGACAAATATCCATAACCCACCAAAAGACCAAAACTCGCCCACTTCAACTCTTGGGAATGTGGGCATTGTGTTCTCTAGATTGCTTCCTGTTGTCTGGGGACACTGGTGTCTTTAGGGAACTCTGAAAAAATTGGGGTAATGTTCTAGTCCTGGGAATGCTAGATGTTGTCTAGTCTCAGTATGATGGGAAAACATAAAGCTTATTGGAAGTCTGGCTGTAGTAGTCGGTGAGGCTGGACCATCTCAGCTATCAGCCTTGAAGCTGTTTTGGATGCAGAACTCTGAGGAAACTGCAGCAGAGGCACCCTGAGAAGCTGGACCGCCTGGGCACCCACTTTTATTGATGTCTGGCCCCCTAGTTCTGTCTTACAGTATTTCAGGCTTGTGTCTGAAGGGAATGGAGTTGCTGAGTTCCTTTGTGCCTACTAAGCCCCAGCCTTTCCCATCAGCATGTGGGTGCATCCACCCAATGAAATACTGCCTTGCTCCACACTTCCTATTGGGTAATAGGTGATAGGAATTCAAAATACGATTTTGCTAGATATGATGGCTCATCCCTGTAATATTAGCACTTGGGAAATCTAGGTAGTAAAATCAGGAACTCAAGGTCAATTAGGGCTACATTAGTTTGATGAGGCCAGCCTGAGATACATGAAAACATGTTTCAAGAAAGAAAGAAAGGGAGGGAGAAAGAAAGAAAACAAGACAAAAGGGGAAAACCCACAAAATAAAGTAAATGAAAATGTGTTTTTGTCCTTGTCTTTAAGAAGCTGTCATCTTGGGGCAGAGACAGACATGTCCACAAACAATGGCAACACAATACACAGAAGAAGGAGCCATGAACTTTGGCCTAAAGGATCAGGACATCATCAACAAGACAGATTCGTGAATATAACAGTCCCTGTCTCTCTGGCTAAGTCAGGTAGTTCATCAATCTGTTGGGCTAGTGATAGACAGGAAAGAGGGAGAATATTCTGAGACAATGTCTACAGAAAGGTCTCTCTCAGGAGGCTGAAGGCCAAACTGGTGTTGACCAAGAAACATTCCAGGCAGGGAGAAGAACCTGTGTGAAGGGTTGGGGGCATTGACTGGCTGGAGAAATAAAGAGCAGGTGGATACTGCTGTCATGAAAAGACCCAAAGGTCACTTAAAAGTAGGGGTCTTGACTCTCAGAGCACCATATACATGAAACCATGCCTCCATCTTACTTCAAATCATTCAATCTTTCCTCCCCAAGTCACTTTTGATCATGGTGTTTTATCACGGCAATGGAAACCCCTAAGACAAAGTGGTAGTGATTTACATGGTGAAACAAAACTATAATTTACTATTTGTGTTTTTAATTTTCAAAAAATCTATTTCCGTGTATCCATATCATCATGTGTTCTATAGTTTGCCATGGTGTGTTTCCATAAATAACACTTGGCTGTGGGACCACATTCTCCTCCTCTTCCTGCCTAGATTTCTCTCCCACTGGGTTCCAGGGCAGTGGCCAAGAAGCGAGGTGAGGGAGAGTTGGCAGGGTGTTGGGAGCGGAAGTGATTAAATGTTGAAAGAGGGTCTGGTGGGTGTGAGGTCTGAGCCGGGATGGCCCACTGGGAAGGCCAGGCATGAGGAGGTGAGCTGCCTCCTGGTC